TAGATGTCAGTATAGTGAAACTTCCAGTAGGGTTGAAGGGAAGAACTCATCAGGTGCCTCAAACCGAGGGCATGCTCGACTTTGCACAGCAAGTGAAGTATTGTGGAACGAATCGCTGGGAGGAGAGGACGTATTTATAGATTTCTTGGCTCCTGTCGCGTACGTGCTCTGCTAGGTAGCAAACGCTGGACACGATGCCTATCCTAAGTGAGGCCTGTTGCAACCCATGCCTCGTTCTACCGCAGCTATTTGCAGCGAAATTCCGGTGTCATTTTAGATGCCCACCGAGAGTAAAAAATGCTAGTCACGTTGAGAATGAGTCAAAGTGAGTCGGTTAAGAAACGTTGGCTCACTGTTGAACCTACGGTCTTAATATTGAGGCAATGGAAGCTGTTCATTCTTTGATTTTACCAAGAGCGCTCACATTTTCATTTAAGGAACATGAAAATTTTCTGGCCTCGCTTGAGTGTTGATTGTCTGAGCTGTGTGTGGTTCTGTCCGTGGTCGCGCGGGCGCGGGTACTCAACCCGTCAACCCGTTGAAGCTTGGCCGTCCTTCTTCACGGGAGTCAAGTTTTGAACTTGCGATCATGGTTGAGATAGATACCTTGTTTTTTTCGATTTTCTTTTCCGGTCTTCCAATTTTACTCTATTTACTTTTGGGATTTCTGAGCTCTTAAACGAATGTGGAAAATGCGTTGTGATTGAATATATATCTCCGGGACCTTTCATCACCAGTAAGCCACTAATATGAGGCACATTCACCAACCATCAACACCACGAGACTGATCACCAGCACCATCATTAAACGGACTGCTAACAGAGTGCTGAGATTGAAAAGCTGACTACGCTGATTGACTTTCATGGTGAAAATGAGACTGAGTACCTATCCACCGATGTCTTCTAGTCTATAAAAGCCTCCAAGAATTAGTGGACATGCTATTGCCCAGATACTCGACTTTCCCCTGCGATCAAGATGGATGCCCCTAACAGCACGCCAGACCAGGAAAAAGAAGGAGAACAACAGCCCAGTGCATTGCAAATCGTTTCTGAAAAAGAGAATTCGCAGGAGGCTTCTGATCATGTCCCTCCACTGGTAAGTAAGGCGGCTCAGCTTCCAATGCTCTTGCTGACTGTCACAGCTCGCTCCCTCGCAACAGGAAGCAGAAAAAAGACATACCTTGGCGACAGAGCCCTTTCAACCTATTTTGAAGGTGCTAGCAGACCTCGAACGCGACGATCCCAAGTTCGCCTTTCCAACAGGTCGAATTGTCGGACTCTATCGACGCCTATGGGAGTCGTGCGTGTCCAAACACATCGATGGCCAGAAGCTAGAGCAGAGCAATCATATCTTGAAGGAGGCTAGCAGACACCTGACTAAAGAGAGGGACGGATTTCAGCTTCGCCACGACAAGCAGCTGTCTCGGCTGCGCTTCTTTGAGCAGGCACTGGAATCATCTCGGGGTCGATTGACTAGGATCCTCGATGACTGTGATCACCCTTGCAGACTCAATCTACCAGGGTTTTTGGACAACGCAAGAGAAGAGTGAAGCATTGCATGTTTATATCTGTCCTATGTCTTACTTTAACAACTTGGAGATAATACGACAGAGCCGCAATTGAAAGAGAATTACCGCATGGAAGCATTCTATATTTGGCACGTATTTACTGTAAGAAGGGCATGAATAGCCGTCGTGGAATGCGGTAGAGGCTCCATACTAGGCCATAGGGTCATGCGGAAGCTAATGGCTATTTCACCAATCCTATGTCGGGCGACTGTGTCTAGCAACTGCCTGCCTGCGTACCGGATACAGATTCCCCAGGGCCGTTTCAACCCAGGGAAAAAAGAATATATGCTCTCCTATAGTCTCGCCAGATGTCGAACCAAACAGCTAGTCGACGCTCTATCTATTGCACCTCTTCGGGGAAAAAAAGCGAACGCTGACATGTAGAAATTATCGCTAGCCTGAGTAGAAATGAACGGAGAATCTGGACCCGTCCACTTGAAGCCGGACAGATTGTCGTTATTGGGGTTAAAAAACATTCATTCTATGGAGACCCCCGGTCCCATATTCTGCAGGCTCGGTTTCATCCTAGATAATATGTCACAGATCCAGATCCGTGGCAAGACATGAGGGCGCTGTCGATATACAGCATAGATAGAAATCAGTTTCACCACTTGATTCACATAGATTCTTATCCGAACCCTACTTTAAAACACGCTAATCCATCTTTGATCTAGCTCCTTTCAAAATATCGAAATTGCTTGTAACAGAGTCACATGATATCCACTCCCGTATTTTACTAGAAATACCATACAATTGATACTCAACACCGTGATTTTTCGCATCGCTCGTCCGCCCGAGGACCGCATGACCCCTCTTGGATCATTGGAGTTGATTGTCCAACATACCATAGATTGCGCCTTTGTATCTACACTCTCGCTACGTTGATCGTGGGTACTTGACTCATTCGTAGTTTAAACCTAGGCTCCTTAGCTGTGGCGAAGTTTGATCGGGTCACGTGGCTCCCTTCATAAATAAACTTGTTGCTAAGCTGACTTCTTTCTCTTATAAATATTTCCTTCTTAATAACGCTCCATCAAACCCGTCTCTAGTTCTACACAAAATGATGCCGCTCTTAGGAGAATTCATACAAATCCACGATCTTCTTCCGCATCTATCTTTACTCGGTCAAATTTTTAAGTTTGACAACGACCACGGGGACTCAATGCTTCTCGGAGAAATTCCAGATCCAAGTACCGCCGAGAACTGTCTGAAGAAAATATCGCAGGACCAGACGTTGTGTGAAAGGATTTATGTCGCCCGAGAAGAAGGCGCAAAGATATACATGGTGGCAGGGGAGAACCGCTATTATGAGATTGAATTCGATTCAATAGACTTTCAGTCTCCAGACGGGATTACTCGGAAGTGGGGTCGTTTGGGTTCGGTCCCTGTGGATGGGTTTGATGAGAGCTTTAAAGAGCAAGGTGGATGGATGAACCCTGCATTCTCTCGCAAAACAAACCCCTATATCTTGATTCCGCGTCTAGGAAAAGAAACCGATGGTGCGATCTTTAGGCAAGCTATATCGGAGGTCATTTGCGAACCTGCTTAACCTTAAGCCTCGCTGCAGCGGTTGGCGGCTTATCCTACAGCGCTCGGCAAAGGACCACCAATACATTCTATCGTTCGATTTGGCCTATTTGCAGAGTCAACGTTCTTAGAATCATACAGGCCTGATACAGAACCTATTTTTTATACTGTTATTTACACCCGTACTGCCCTGAAACGAACGAAGTGAGAAAAAGGGAATGATCAACACGGATGTACGTGCGCACGAGACGTTGCAAAAAGTGGTGGCTTAACTACGTATAGACTGTTCTGCCACGCACTTCGCTCATCGCTCTTCCTGCCCACTGGTACCTGCATTATTGTCGCTTTCTTCGGACTAGATGGTCTTGGCTTTCGGGTTCTAGGGTTTTGTCTGCATACTTATGCACGTTCACTAGCTATTATTGCTTCGTCTTATGCACTTTACCCTTCGTTTTATTGCAACGTTTTGCTGTTTATTACCACCACGATTTCAACTTAGTATGTTCTCTCCTGTATTTGCCCCTCTTGTTGCTTTTGTGTCCTTGTTCCGAAATGTTATCTAATCGGCCTTGCTATGACTGTGGGCGCCAAGTTCGTCTATCTAAAACCATTCAACCACCGAGATGTCCTGCTTGTCGACTCGATAGGCGGTCTAGAAAGCGGAGTGAGTACCATCCTTCCAAATTAGGACTAGCGCATTCTCGATTACTGGCTGGGAATTGGGTAAGAAGAGTGGAGGTAACGTAACGTATTTCACATGCGAGCTGCGCACACAAGCGAGCTGCGCACCCCAAAACACCATACTAAATGGGATAAATTACAACTTGATATCTCAACAACCACGTTTTTATTTTATTTTATTGCTTTTCGATAGCTATTGATAAGACTTTTCAACCCTATATATCAAATTCAAGGAAATCGATACGCTGCATTATCATGGTATTCGAAAATTACGTTGCTATGAGTCAGAAATATATATATCTTATTCACTGAGTTATCAAAATTCTTTAAACTCCCTAAAGAGCCTAGATATCACCCTAAAAGCATTGTGCTACAAGGCAAAGTCCCTATAGACCACCGTTGTTGAGATATCAAGTTGTAATTTATCCCATTTAGTATGGTGTTTTGGGGTGCGCAGCTCGCTTGTGTGCGCAGCTCGCATGTGAAATACGTTATTTCACATGCGAGCTGGACACCCAAGCGAGCTGGACACCCCAAAACACCATAGTAAATGCGATAAATTACAACATAGTATCACAACAACCATAGGTTACAGGGACTTATCCTTATAAACGAATACTTTTTAGGTGGTATCTAGTCTCTAAGAAGAGTTTAATGAATTTCTATCCCTTAATGATTGAGATATATATATATCTAGCTCCTGGCAACGTAATTTTCGATACCGCAGCATTGTAGGTTTTAGATCTCTTCAAAATTGATATATGCTAATAAAAAGCCTTGTCAACCGCTATTGGCAAATCAAATAATAAAATAAAATAAAACCGTGGTTGTTGAAATATCAGTGTAGAATATATCGCATTTACTATGGTGCTTTGGGGTGTCCAGCTCGCTTGGGTGTCCAGCTCGCATGTGAAATACGTTATAACTGATTCCGAAAACTACTGTATAATCCGCTGTTGATCACTGTTCGATGACACATATCTATGCCCTTGGGCCTATCGGGAAATGGTGTGATATCACCTGTAGTATCTCTTGCGCTATTAAACCTAAAACGCGATCTGCGGGACGAAGGCGGCGATCTCTAGATGCAGAAAGCGATATATATATAGGGGATTGATATGGTGACCCCCCTTTGGATAATGCGAACCCCCCTATCTTGGTGTCCGTCACTACTTCGCACTCGCTCGAAACTCTTTCACCCTGCACTGAACAAATCCCCCTCAAAATGAAGAACTTGGCCGTCATTATCGCTATTGTTGCCGCGGTGCAGGCCCAGTCTATCGATGACGTCCCGCCCTGCGCCCGGGATTGTTTAAGAAATTCCACAAAAAAGGTTACGTTGTGCGCTGAATCAGATTTAAGCTGCGTTTGTGGGAAATTCGATCAGATACGAGGCGACGCCGCTGGCTGTGTTCTCGGCGCCTGTGGGGCTGATACGGGTTCGTTTCTTAACCTAACAATTAAGACAAGATCCGTTAACTAACGGGCAACTTATAGGCAAGGTCCTGGACGCAACAAAACAACTCTGCGAACCCCTGGCCTAGTTAGAGCTCCCGAGAAACGACTATGATTTGGTCGAACGCCTATGTCGAGAAAAGTGGGGTAGTAAGATACACCCGAAATAGTTTAGTTTTATGTGTCGTGATTTCTTCGTTTGGACTAGGGGATTCTCGACACTCCGAGAATCAGGACTTACAACCCCCCCATTCCCTAGCAAGCAAGGACACCCTAACATGTCTTCGCTTTATCCGCTCTTTTTATCTTTTCTGCAACTGAATTCAACTCATCTTTTTGGATTGGTTCCCCTTGGTAGATTAGCCCTATTCTTGTATATAATGCCGTAACGTATTAGCTTGCTGTGACCAAGAGGTTAGAGTGAAAAAGTACGGTTTTCTTAAACACCGTTCCGCAGAATACGAGTAAATCGACATGAACTAGGGTATTGTGATCTTGTAACAGGAATGGCCTGTACTAGCTATGAAATACTAAGGATATACTAGCCGATTAGAGCAACGGAATCAAAAAGGGGAGATGCAATAGAGGAGACGAAAAGAGTGTTGATTCCGGTTCTCTAAACTGCCAGCGGTCGAGGGCGTTGAAATACCCTCTAGAATACCTGTGACTCCGAGGTTACATATACAAGGTGGTGAAATGTGGCAAAAGTACGCGTAATCTCAATACCTAATACTATGTCCTCGGAAACCTCAAAGTACCGTTTTGAGTCAACCACCAATTTTCCTTCTATACTGGCACTAGGGTTTTGGAAAATAATTTGTGAGAGGAACTAGGCACAAGCCAGATTTTGAAGGACATAGTACTACTTGATTCCTTAACAATCAGTTCGTTTGTGTCACGGGCTGTTTATCAGGACAGGGGCCTGTTAACTAGTTAGGTAAAGAGAATAGGATGGTGTATAGAGACGAAACGCCGAAGCCAGATTGTAACAAGACTGATTCTTGGGGAACCCTCAAGAACCCTCTCCTCGATATTCTATTTATCGGCAGGGCTTTCCCAAGGCTAGACACGATTAGTTTTGAAATCGAACATAAGGAGAGCAAGGAGAGTACACATCTTGCGTAACATGAGAGCATGGTTTGCTCAATACCTGTACTTCAGCTACGCCAGCACCTCACCGCCGATTGTGTACCGGAAGACTATAGTCTCGAAGAACATAGTCGGTAACCCACAATCAGGATGACCCATAAGGAAACGACTGCACCGACGGCGTCTTTCATAGCACCATTTGTGGAGAAACCCCAGTTAGCCGCAAAGTTTTGTTGCGTTCGTCACTGCTAAATCCTTGCCCGTTCTCGCCGCTAATTGGTCGATTTGGGCCGCTAAGGGCTTCATTCTGCGTTTCTCTATACGTTTCCCATGCATGACTAGCTCGTCCTTATTGTATAGCACTCTTCTTGGCTTAACATACTGCTACTTACTTCCACGCTTTACCTCGTGATTTGCTGAGTTGTGGAGTCCCCACCGTGCTTAGCCTTCCCTAGTCCACGCTTTTATGTCTTGCCTTTACGGCTCTAGGGCTTTGTCTGCTCTGGTTCGCACGTTTGCCTTCTGTGCTTACCTCCTCAAAATGAACCCTCTCTCAGCGACCAGCAATATCCTGAGCCAACTAGAACAAATGCCCCAGATGATGAGGACGACGAAAGCACACAAATCACGTGGCCGGACACGGCAGACGGAGTCAAGGCCTTACCTCGTGCTAGCACTCCCACTCCAGAGAGACGCTCTCAAAGGCCAAGGAAAGCTTCATATGTGTGATATACTCGCGCTGTCAAAAAATAACAAATGTTAGCGAATTTAACAGATTTCTTAGTTGCTTTTTTTTCGATTGCGTTTATTAGTCATTTGACCTTTCCTCTCATTGGTCAATCTTAATTAAAATGCAACTCTTAACAGCAATCCACACATTTTGATGTTTCTTTTCACCTTTCTGTCTCTCATTTCCAGTTCTTCGTTTCAGGGCCGATGCGCGCAACTCTCCCAATATCATGATCACGCTCCGACGGCGCATACGTCAAGCTGCTTGATGGAAGTTGGTCCTGGGTAGGTGTCCACAATGAGTCAGGCGGGTCATCCGAGGTTAGCGCAAACTGAGCGGGCGTAGACGGACGGACTAGTGCTGAGAAAATCTTTGAAAGGAAGTTCAGACGGATGCATGTTCGGCGTAAGCGCGAGTCGTTCATCCTCTCTGGTTTTAGGCATGGATCGTAAATTACCGGATCATCATCATAGCTGGATGTGCTAATTACTTGTCGCAGCTAAAAAGCACCTCCTGTGCCCCACGTCAATAAACATGGCTAATTGGTATATACATCTTCAGATCCACTTTGTGTCGATACCGCAGGCCAGCTATCATATCTTCCAAAGGCATTGTCAGGACCACAGTAACACCGCGCAAATGCTTTCTGCTCGATACCCGATATATGCATCAATCCATGAAGGTAGCACCAAACGAATTCTCTTTTTTCACTCATCAACATCTCTCCGATCATTCGGTCCGCGTCAGGATTATCCAGAACAAACTGCGCTTTCACAAACGGATCCGAATCAGGTGCAATGACTCGAGCGATCATATCTCTGTCATCAAAGTTGCGAAACGTCTGTTCACGGTCGTGGATTGCGACTCCGTTAAAATCACATGCAGGGATAACCTCCTTGCGGTGGATATCGACGGCCGTGTCGTATTTGTAACGAGTTCGATCGAAAATGTACGCCGGGCGGTCATTCGTAACCATGGTCGTGGATACAACTCCCATTCGCTTAAGCAACCACTGCTTTATGCGCTCCGCGATAACTGCTTCGGAAGCAATGTCTTGGTCAGGAGCGAGGACTGTGGATCGACGTTTGAGATCATTCAAATAATCTCTTAATGATGGAAATCTGCTTTCAAGCGTTCGACGCCATTCTATGCCGCTCATTACAATATCTAAACAAATCCAGACTGAAAGATATATGTATTTGTAGGGCAAGAATGATGACTAAGGATACGAAGGGAATTTGTGGCCGAAAAGCGAACAGGGATAACCTTTTGGTTGGTTGTTGAATGGGCGGATTTTGTCCGGCGAAGGAGGGTGTATTTATGTTAATTTATTGTCACGTGATAACATTCATTTAGAATACCGCTAACACGCTTTTGGGACAAGCACCATTACTTGGAAAGAATGACCCACGACAGGCTTATGACACGGATCAAGGTTTCGATGTCTTCCTTGAATAGTGTATCAATGTGTCCGGTCACCGGTCTGGAAAAAGAGTGTGCCAAAGGTCATTGTCGCCATGCGGGCTTGAAGATAGCTGTTTGAGGTGGTTAAATCCCAGTGAATGGTATACATTGATACTCGAAATCGATTTTACCTTCAATCTCTCGCTCTTTGTCTCCCTTACGGCCCACATCTCAAGCGAACTCGGTGGTATCAGAAGGTCTTTCCGCCTACTTTGCATTTGTGCTTATATCTTCGAGGAATTGGCGTATATCACAGTAACTTGTTTCGTAGTATTCCTCATATATAAGTGATTAGGACCGTACCTTAAAAACATATTGATATATCCTCAGATTAGCGCATTTAAACTTAGCGAAACATCATCATATCGCATCATATCTCATGAATATATATCATCATAGATATGTCAAGAAGCAGTCATATATGCCGCGTAATTGGTCGCTGGTGCGAAGAGGCTCGTGTTGGATTATTCATCCCCCCCCCCAATCACGTTAAGTCCGCGTTCATTAGAACCTATGAAAGGCCACTGATCACCTACAGTACGTTTTTAAAGTTTCAAGCATGTGACTATACCAGGGCTTGAAGTGTGACACCAGAATGACGCCAGATATTGACCATGACAACGACCACGAGAATCTCTCTCTTCTATACACGCATGCAGCCATGGCTTGCGATACCACTCCTAAACTTGTGGTTCTTGTTGACGCTGAAAACGCGCAATTTTGCAGAGATCGCGAAATATGGCACAGCTCATGTAAAGCGGGCCTTTGGGGACTGGACCGATCATAGGTTGGACGGCTGGAGCAATGAGCTTCTCAATCAGCCTATCCAGCCTATTCAGCAGAATGCGTACACTCATGGCAAAAATACAACCGACTCAGCTATGATCATAAACGCGATGGACCTCTTACACTCGAACTGCGTCGATGGCTTCTGCCTCGTCTCTAGCGACAGTGACTTCACCCCATTAGCCACTCGATTGCGCGAGTCTGGACTAATGGTATTTGGATTTGGGGAGCGCAAGACGCCTAAAGCTTTCGTCGCTGCGTGCGACAAATTCATATATACCGAAGACCTTGTTTACCCTTCAGGGCTTGCGCCGCATTCAGATAGGGCTGAAGTTCCCCAAAGCCATAATTCAGTCCAACAGGCCAAAGAAGATAGTCACCCTGCTATTCGGCAGCAGAACACGACAGAGAACTCTCTCGATAACAGTGGGTGGGCCAGGCTATCTGATGTTGGTAAGCATCTCACAACACAACACCCGGAATTCAACATCTTCACACAAGGATACTCCAAGCTCAGCAAGCTATTCTCTGATTCGCCTAATTCTGATATCGAACATCGCCTTTCTCAAGCAGACAAACCACCGGAATTATACGTACGAAAACGGAAAACTCCTCCTAGGTCTGCGCAGATCTGGCTTATTCCGGCTCTATCAATATTTATGAACTTACCGTAATTAATTTTATGGGCTATCTAGTAGCAATCTACTTCATGTCTTTACTTGTTCTCTAGTGACTTGCATGTCCGCTATAATACAGTACACAACTACTTCATTCTCACTTTGAGTGGTATTTAGTCTAGCGTTCTAGGGAAAGGATATCATATAACTTTGTGCAATCAAAATCTGCGTGGTTATCTGCAGGAGAGCTGAGTAACGATAAGCGGGGAATCAAAATCAACAACAATGGAGCTGAAATGGCGGCGAGAGACGCAGGAGGACCTACTATGAAACGAAAGCTCAAAAGTCTCTATTTTATAGTGCTGTAACCTTGTGGATGAACGTTCGCATGGGGACACGGGCAGGGCAATTGGAAGATAAAAAGCGGCTGTGGTCACTGGTGTCGGATGAATTCAGGAGACGCCTAGTTTAGCGAGGAAAGGAAAGGAAGTTGTGCAGACTATATAAGGGTACGCGGCGAAAGAACAGTTCCTTTGGTTTACTTGCACTTTGAGGGCAGAAAATGCCAGCGATGTGGCACCGCCCTCATTTTACCCAGGCTTTTGTTAGCCTTACTGATTGACCAACATTCGACAAGCAGACTTATACAAACAAACTCGAGGACTTGCTGGCTCATAAAAACGCAATTGACTTAAGTCTCGAGAGTCATTTACCTACCTTTTCATGGCTCCAGGTATTGTTTTTGTCCACGACAAATGAATCTAACCCGGAAACCTCAACACCCTGCCCGAGCGAAGTTCATCCCGCTACTTTCCATTAGGAAGAGCAAAAAAAAACCTCCGCAGGAAGATTCGGCTGGTTAAAGAATGCGGTGCTCTGCCAACCTCACTGATAGATGATCTTTGTCGATCTTCGCAGTCCGAAGGATATAAAAACCAAAGCCCTCCTACAGGAACATGGATATAACAGGGTGATCCTGCCTTCCAGCGTGACAACCTGTACGGCTCTGTCGCTGCTAACTGGCACAATCATCTAGTGGTCCTGTCTTCCAGCGTGATAACCTGCACAGCTCTGTCACTGCTACCTGGCACGATCACCTAGTGGCTTACCGCTACCTCCAGCGATAGGACAGACACCTCTTCGTGGTGCTGGAGATCATTACTAAAACGAGCTATCGTTTCAGGAAGCTAAGATCTGTCCTTGGGAAAGGCATTTGACTGATTGGTATATGGAGTCTACTGTACGAGACAGGCCGCAACCCTTCGCTACCACCCGCAACTGATCGAGCACGCAATTGGGACGAAGTGCATGAGTCAGATGGTAATCGAAAAGCCGCTCCCTGAGTTAAAATAAAATATTGGCACGATTGCGCGCCATACCACACAAATGGATTTGATTCGTTGGACAATCCCCCTGACTAATTGATCCCCTTTCACACTAACGAATGCACGTAATTCATTGCCTTGGTTGACATCATCACTATTTGCTCTGGGACACGAAGGTGCAGGCTGTCTCGCATTCTCTCCACTATCAAGACTTCCATTGAGATGGAGGCCGATATTGCATATCACATGGCTCGAAGGGCACTTCGGTTTCCCTTGGAGAATATCCCAAATTACGAGGACGACTTTTGTTCGCTTATCGCGCTCGACCTTCTGGCATCGCGCTACGACCTGGGGGATCCTGTATCAAACATCTGGGAAGCACGCTTGCAGCCAAATAACTGCCGAGACATATTTGATCTCATATGTTCAATAGCACGCGGCTACCAAGTAAACTGCCAATTTTTGCTTCCATTTTTCCGACATCGGATTGAGGATGAAATTATGAGATATCTGAACGAAGCCAATGAGCCACGCACTCGAATAGTGCTCTCTGACGCACTCGTTAGGTGTCAAGATGAAACTGCTAGAGATTTGCACTCTAGAAATTATTATGACCAAAAAGCGGAGGAAGCATTGGAGTATCCCTATGACCCTGATTTTGATAGTGAAGATTATTACGAACATGAAGATAGGCTCCAAATGGACGATAGCTACAGGGAAATGTGGAGAGGAAATATGCAAAGAAGAGAGGACTTTGACATCTGGCAACGGACGTCGACCCAAGCAAATTGGAAAGGGCTATTTCAAAAGGCGGTGGAGTTTGTTGTGCAAGGACCAACGCCTGGTTTTCGGTTTGATCTTCTCGACTAAAACCGGTCTGCTATCCTACTGCTAAATTCGAAATCGGCTTCCATATTTTACTGTATCACAAAATAAAAGACCACCTCAGTGGCGTGTAGCCAAGGGCCTTTGAAGAAGTAATCACATATTCTTTCCAACATCGGGGGTTTGACGCTTCGTTGCGGGTCCACGAAAAGTTGGGAGTTTCTACGCCTTCCAAATTGACGAAGATTGCTTGAAATCGTATTAGCCTTCGAGTGATTTACGGGATTGGCGAGCACGTGGTATTAATGGACAATGCATTTCGATACTCAGAAGAATTTTATCAACAGATTAGCATGTTTTGAAATAGGGTTGGGGACAGTCTATGAGAGTAAGGTGGTGAAAATGATTTCGAACCATCCTGTATAAGTTCATATACGTGACGGTAATAGACTGAAAGATCCTAGCCTCTAGAAAAGGCTAGGATTTCTTTCTTTACAGTATTAATGTGGATGTGGACCGAAGTCGTTTTTCTGGTCGATAATACGATGCAAGCGCCCCCAATGCCGAGCATTTGGGGTCGGCGACTAACTAGCAAACTGTCGCTTTTTGAGGATAATTGAAGAAAACCTGACAGCTACATCCCCTATGGCCATATATACTAGAATGAGTATTAATGCAGGTTATATAGGCTTTCGCTTTTTAACGATAAAAGACTAATGCCAAGAGCGGTTAGGAGTAATTTCGGAGTCATCCATTGGCTGTCAATGAAATGTTTGAGGGCTTAAACAGGAATAAACTAGCAGAGTGATCATTTATATAAGCCAAACTTGAGATAATTCGACATTTTCGAACATTTTCGACATTGAAATGATATAAAATCATGACGATGCAGACGGCAGCGAACGGCTCATAGGTCCAGATTTACTGACAGCTCTCCCTTTCCTATGTGCCTGAGAATGGCAATGATACCGCAAGCCAACCACGGCCATATACTCTCACACCAATACCCCTGCCAGTTCTTTGATTCACCTTTCCGTTCTAGTGCAATTGGAGCACAAATTAACGATCTAGTCATTCATATAAACCTGGCAAACCAGGGTGTCCCCGAAGAACAACGAATTTAATGGAGACAAAAGGTTTATTATTGTCTGCCGCACAAGTTAGCAATCCAGGAACTAAAGCCAGTCGACAGAAGAAAATTGTCACACACAGTAGTTGCAGCGTTAGGTCCCCTCTGATCTTTGCTTTCAATTCAACTTCCACATCCAGATTCAAGTCCAACCTCAACTTTAATTGATCGTTCTTTGCCGACTGAGGTTTTACTTCCGTGGTCTCTGTCACTTGCTCGACAGGTCCAGTTGCTGCTTTTGGAACAAGTTCATTGGCCCGCTCTATCTGGCCCTGGGTTTCCGGAGGGTTAAGCATGTGGCTCACGCGCCTTTCCTGTACCGCCCGTTGTTCGCGCTCGATGCCTTGATCTTGATATGGATCTTGTGACTCTGCCGAAATCCGACGGGCTCTCCGGTGGTGTCGAGTACGCTGGTTCTGTTTTTCAACCTGCGGTGCAGCCTGAGGTGAAGGTGTTCGTCGGTCATTCTGTCTCGGTTCTGTGGAATTGCTACCCAAGTTTGCGGAAGGGGAATTTGACTTGGTAGAGTCTGGGACACCATTCAATCTTTGCTCGTTAAAGCCGTTTGTTCCTGGATCTGAAGTTGAACCCTTTCGCAGCTTGGGAGGTCGGAGTTTTGGGGGCTTCCTATTCGGCGCGGAACCACTTGCGCTACCATTCGCGTTTTGAATATCCTGATTAGACTGCGCTTGCATTATGATAACAAAATACAGTCAAGTGTTGTTTTAGATAGAGATATGAATTGTGAATTGCTATGAGAATTTCCTTTGCCCATGTTGCAATTGCATTCAGTTCGCCCCGCTGACGTCAGGATAGGCTTGATCAGGACATAAAGAACAACAAGAACCTTGCCGAGTCTAGATTCTCGCAGATGATGAAGAGCCCCCGTTAAGTCAGCCACAGACATAGAAGCGATGTTAAAACTTGTTTCGAGCTAATAAAAAGGTCCGATTCAAGGTACATATGCTCGGATCTTCCGGTTGAGAACCAATAAAATTGATCATACCCGAGGATCTGCAACGTCATGACCTATGGGAACCGTGGATGCGAGCTGTGACTTGATTATGTGATCCATTTTCATTTACCTGATTATAAGCCTGCGAGATTCGTTTCTCATTTATTCAGATCACTGAATATGGATACCGTCACCACACAGAAGAAGCCAACACTTCCAAAAGACGCAGTTCATTCCAGCGAAGAGGATGAATCTGATTCCTACAGCGACCAGGAAGATTCTTTACAAGACAAACACACAAGCGAGACCAATCAACTGGAAGGATCAAATCCCAATTCTATAACGACATCTGAAACCGAGTCAATCGAAACCGAGTCTATCGAAAGAGAAGTCTTAGCCCAAGATGATAGACATGCACCCACAACAGAAGTGATTCGAAGAAAAACGAGTGCGGCATTACCGGCAAACAGAGGAATAGCTCCAATACAACCGATATCTGAGCAGAACGGACCGAGGCAAGCGATAGTAAAAGGTGCTGGAACTGCGTTGAGCTTGAGACTTGATCTAAACCTTGACGTTGAGGTCGAGTTAAAAGCCAAGATTCATGGAGATCTGACGTTAAGTCTTCTGTTAGTCCCTCATTATCATTACCATACTTTGGGAAGCATGAAGCTCATAATATGCAGGGCCTAATTAACTAGTAAATTGACCAATGCTTACCGGCGTTAGGGTGTGGTATTTCGCATTGCCTTGTTTCAAGACCTAGGTATCAATTTGACTTAAATTGGACAGGAAAGTCTAGGAGCTACTAGTTCTCAGTGCCACAAGTGTGCCTTGCACACTTGGTGTGGCAACATGTTAGACTGGACGGATAGATTTAGTCCAATAAAGCTCATGGCATGGAATGATGAGGTAGAATCCTTCTATAATGACCAGGAGGCTTTGTGGTACCACGGTATATCTGTATCATTGAGGCCCTCTTGCGAACCCCATGTATCAACATAGTCTCGCTTGGGGGTCATTGTTCCATAGTAAACTTTGTAGTTCGGTTACAACTGGGTAATCAGTGGCCATTTTATCTGTAGTCCCCGATGTGGCGAGTCGGCCAGTTCCTGATCCCGAAGGGTATCACAGTGATGATATCATGAAGAATATATATTGCATGCTCGAACATCTCCTGTGCTGTTAACAGTTAATGAAAACCTACTAGTCACCAATCTATACCTGCAAAACGAGATATTAGTTCAAAAAAAAGTGGTTGCCGAAAGCTGCAGAAGCGCAAGAACGAAATGGCATCACCGGCGACAAAGCGAGTTCCATCAGCGGAAAAGCATTTAGTACCGCCTAAGAAGTCCATGGGAGACTCAATTTCTCAAAGCCCTTTACCTGGCAAGGGAGCATCAGAGATCAAACCTGTAAACCAGGCGAAACCCATCAACAGGCCCTCAACACCAACCGCACTCAAGAAGAATATTCGAAAGTTGCCAAAAGGATCGGGAACCAGAGAATTGCCTCCAGCCTCCCAAGAGAAAAAGGTATCGCAAATCAAGACTCCGAATGTCGACAAAACTGGGACACCAGATGAAGGGAGTGCAGTCAACTTGGAATATGAGGAGCCACTGCCAATAAGAGAGTCCATCGAAGAGCATGAAGAGGCGGTTGAAGCCCCAGAAGATGCGCAACAGGTGGCAGAAATTCCCTCTAAAGAGCAGAGAGAACCTGAAACGAAAAAAAGTGATTCCGCCTCCGGGTCGGGTGGGGTCTCATTTTTGCAGCGAGGGAAGAATGCAGCCTCGCGTATTTCCGATCTAACGGGCACCGTCAGAGATCTCAGCAATCGGGCTACCGCTGCGGAATCACAGGGCGCTTATGACGACATTCAGGATAACATTCGAGGGGTCGCCAAAAAGTTCAAGCCTGACGAAGGGGGTGTTGCCAGCAAACTCACGGAGAAAATTCCCAGTCTCCCCACAGATTTGTCTGAGTTGAAGGGGCTTGAGGTTAGCGAAGAGGGAAAGATCTTTGACAATGATGGCAATGCAGTTGGAACACTCGTCGAGGGCGACTCCAGCGACCTTGCTGGCCAGGTGGTTGGGGAAGGTGGCGAGATTTTAGATAACGATGGCGATCTGATTGGCCGAGTTGAGCTTGTCAGCGACGAGACTGCAAAGCAGGCTGGTGCAGTCGAAGAAGCGGTTGACACAGATAATGTCCCCAGCTTACAGGACCTCGCAAACCTGCCAGTCGCAGAGGACGGCGCAGTCAAAGACGACGACGGTCGAGTATTGGGGCGACTAGTTGAAGGTGACCCGGATGATTTGGTGGGCCGAACTGTTGATGAGAATGGCGAAGTTTTCGATGAAGATGGAGACTTGATCGGGCGAGTCGAGCCTATCTGTTCAAAGCAAGTTGAAGAATCGGCCGGTGAAGCCGAGCCCGCTGGTGGGGTGTTGCTTCCAGACGTTGCCATCCTTCGGGGCAGAGAAATCAACAGCAATGGCAAGATTCTGAATGATAAGGGCGAGGATTTAGGCCAAGTTGTCGAAGGTCAAGATCCTAGGCATCTGTCAGGAAAGGTCCCAAACGAACTGGGTCAAGTGATGGACAACACCGGAGAGGTGATTGGACAAGTTGAACCAGTACCAGGCCAGGCTGCAAATACTGCGATGCAAGAACTCGAAGACAAAAAGGCGACTTTCAAAAAGCAAGAAGCCAACAAATCACCGGAAACCTCCCAGGAATTACCTGACATCTCCACGCTAGAAGGCCTGAAATGCAACAAGTTCGGATACATTGTCGGCGAGGATGGTGTGCCAGTTGGTGAACTTATTGAGGGCAACCCCAAAGAGTTATCTAAGGGAGAATTCCAGCTCGATGATCGTGGTCAATTCTGGGACAACAGAGGAAATATCTTGGGCGTAGCGCAAACAATCCCAATTGAAGAGGAGGACCAGCGCCCATTCGCAGGGTTTAAAGATCTTGTCGTGGTCACTGATGGCTGGGTCGAAGACGCAACAGGCACTCGAGTAGGCCAGGTTGTTGATGGAGAGATAAAGAAGCTTCTTGGTCGGGCTGTCGATGAGGATGGAGATATTTTGGATAAGCGAGGCAATCTCATTGGACACGCTGAGCCCTGGGAAGAGCCGGAACCAGAGCCAGAAGAGGTCGATTTCTCTTCCTTGGAAGGTCTCTCGCCTAACAAGCTAGGCTTTGTTATTGGGCCAGACGGCGTGTTGATAGGCCGTGTAGCAGAGGGGGACTTGAAAAAAGTTGCTGGTAGGACCATCGATCACGAAGGTCAGCTGTGGAGCGACGATGGCCAGGTTATTGGACGGGTTGAGCTGGTTGCGGAAGAGGAGCGTGAGGTGTTGGGGCCTTTTAGCGGCCTAGGTGATCTGGTGGTCAGACAAGACGGGCTTGTTGAAACCGAGGAAGGCACTGTTGTTGGCAGGATCATTGACGGAGATCCTAAAGAATTACGAGGTAAAGCTGTGGATGATGATGGAGACATCATGGATAAGGTGGGCAATGTGATAGGACGCGCTGAGCCATATACTCCATCCGAAGTCTCTGAAGAGCCAGAAGAAGACCTGTCCGAACTTGAAGGGATGACAGTCAACAAATTTGGAAATGTCGTCGACGCAAACGGGGCAGTCTTTGGACGGCTTGTCTCGGGAAATCCCAAGAAGCTGAATGGAAAGAAAGTGGATGGAGAAGGTCAGATTTGGGGAGACGATGGGAAAATCCTGGGCAATGTTGAACTTATTCCTGCCGCCGAGCGAGAGCAACCCGAAGGGGTGTTTTATGGGCTCGAAGGCCTGACTGCGACAATGGATGGATATGTGATTACTCCAGGAAGGGAAGTGGTCGGTAGGCTAATCGACGGGGAACCGACAAGACTCGTTGGTCGTGCCATTGATGAAGATGGCGAAATTGTGGACAAAGTGGGCAATGTCATCGGCCGTGCAGAGCGATGGACCCCCGAGGAAAAGGAACGCGATATTAGCCCGATGAGTGGCCGAAAAGTCAACGGAGATGGCGAGGTCCGCGACGAAGATGGTAATTTGATAGGCAGGGTTACTATGGGTAACCCCAAAGCCTTGATAGGGAAGACGGTGAATGATAGTGGCTATATCGTTGACAACGATGGAAATCAAATTGGCGAGTGCATGCTGGAGGAGAACCTACCAGACGCCGAACCCGAGCCCGAGCTATCACCCGAGGAAGCTGAGCAGCAGGCTAAAGAGGAACATGACCGAGATTTGGCGAAGAAGATATCAGCCGTTATACAGCAAACACTTGAATCAGTGGAGCCGCTCTGCAAACAGATCACACAGGTAACCTTCCTGCGGATACCCCGCATGTTGATATAACTAACCTGATATAGCATCTTGAACGAGCCGATCGTACGCCACGAGAGGAGTTGGATGAAGAGAAACTAGTCCAGACCGTGAAGCCTCTTATTGAAGATGCCGGAAACATGCTGCAGGAGTGTAAGAGCACCATTAGGGCGCTCGACCCCGATGGGTCCATCGCTGCATCCGCAAAGGCTCACAGTGCTTCTCACGAGGCGACACCGGAAGAATATCAGCTAGCAGATCTTTTGAAACAACTGACTCAAACTGTGACGACTACCATTGACAATGGCCGTCAGAAAATCGCAGATATGCCCCATGCGAAGAAGAAACTCAATCCGCTGTGGACATTGCTATCCGAACCACTTTTCCAAATTATTGCGGCAGTCGGCTTGCTTCTAAGTGGTGTTCTCGGTCTTGTCAATAATCTTCTGAGCGGACTTGGCCTTGGTGGTCTTGTTCGTGGTCTTCTCGGCGGTCTTGGGATCGATAACCTGATGAACAGTCTCGGATTGGACAAGCTGGGCATTGGAAAGTGAAGAAGTCTTAATTTAACATTAAAATTTCTGCTATTACATATTTTAGCTTTATTAAATTGTATCTCTGTGTAAGGCGGTCGTCGTGACCAGTCACCTATGGACTAGCAAAATCAAAACAACCCCAAACTACTATGCCTCTGATCAACTCGCCGCTCCCAGCGGATGAAATTTTCACTTACACTTAGGAATAGCTGTCACGCAACTTCCTATAACGGCTTCAACTTTTGCCGCCACGATTCATACTTGTGATCAGGCAGAATCTGAGCATTGCGATAATATCGCGATACTGTTTTGAAAACAAATGCGCCCTTAGGTGCTCTAGCCTCTAGCCAGAGCTTGAACCGTTGAATGAGCCTACCCAGGTAGGTAAATGGTAGTTCTAGGTAACCTGTTTATTGTTCGAGAAGGCCGATGTTCAAATGACACCCACCCTTACTATGAGCTAACCTTAATAGGAAAGGCAAAGTAATTGTATTTCACCAAGTATTAGTATTCTTAGTGATATTTCGATATACTATGTTTCTCAACCACCCTGCGCGAGACTCCTATTATCCACTATGCTAGTATCTCTCGCTCAGAACCTTTTCATACATATGCATTGCTAGAAGTTGTGCGGCAGGTTGAATCTGGAAAAGTGGGTATTGGCGCTTAACACTGGAAGTATACGCCCTTTGCGATCCGCAACCTGAGGACTAGAATACTCGGTGGGTTGTCAGCGTATTCCAGCCGCTTCAACCTTGTGATTTTTTGCCAATTTTAGATCTCGCTTGATACTGCATGGATGCCAATTGCTGATCATTGGCTGTCGTTCGTGTCATCAAGTGCGATTTCGATTCCCTCTGATTGCAACGAACCCAGTGTCTGCATTGCTCCAGCGATGACCCTTCTCGTCTCTACCAGCTTATCACGCAGTATCTTGTTTTGCGACTCAAGAATCTGCATATCGTGACGGAGGTGGTTGGCTTCGGCCCCGAGCGTATGGCTTTCGCGAAGACTGTCATCTAGCCGAGAACGAGTGCGTTCCAATTCCACTTCCATGCGGCCGTTGGCAGCCTTAAGCTCGCAGATCTCTGCCGTGAAAGAACCATCCATTATTCCTTCACCGAAATCCTGTGTCTTTATGCTCCGTCAGAGGAGCTATATAAATAAGGACATTTGACAAGGGGCTCACCTCCTTTGGAAGGCCGCATGTATTAGACTGCGAGATGCCTAAGGACTGCGGGTTGACAGCTTCGAGTGATGAACCGAGTTCCTTCAATATTTTCTGGTAAAGGTTTATCGTGCCGCTACTTAGGTTTGATTTGAGCAAAGCAGCATTCGCTCTCGTAACGGACCAAGCGTATCCATCTCCAGGTCGCGGTTGGAGACGGACTCTTTCAGGAGCAACAACAAGGTGAAGTCGGTTAACTAGGCATATCAGCTTGTGTGGGCAGCAGAAGGGGTTGGTAAATACATATATGAGCCGCTAAGGCTTCTCGACATTGTTTTCTCAGTTGGAAGCGCTTTTGGTTGCTGCTTTTAGACATTGTAGTGTACTTTGGTCATTCAAGCATTCAGGGAGAATTTCCGTGGGAATTTATAATTTAATGAAACAGCTAACATTTGCAACAAATGCCAATTCTATGTAAGATCGATGATTCGTTCTTTGCCCAGGTAGAAAGTGGTGCCCATGGGTAAGGGTGCCCCACTTTCGGAGTGTCCATTTTCATTGGATGAGACACATCTTGTGATGAATTCAGCGTTGAGAATCAGTTGAAAGTCCCGTAAAGCTTTCACTCCCCGAGCCCTCATGTATAGTGCTGGATGCGTGAGTAGAGCATAAATACTGTGGCCCTCAATTTATGCTTGAATTGCCTTCAGTTATAACATCTTGTTGGCAAAACACGGGAATCTGTTTGGTAGGGCCCAAGGTGCTGCGCATTTCTGCCTTTCGATATGGGCTGTGGAAGATGGAATGAAATACAAGGTCAGAAAAATGATGCATTGAGCAGAGAGTTAGGCTCGATTGCATATTCCAAGGGGATTTCTCTGCGTCTAGAAAACATATAAAAGGGGTCAAGTCAAGCCACCTGAATGTCCATTCGGCACACGACCGTTCTAATAGAAATGGCCCCAACAATTCGCCGGTCTCCCCGTCCAAGACTAGCAACCTATTGCGACATGTTGCAACTACAGTGTGACTCCTCCAAGCCTCCACTCACAAAGATGACCACTCGCCATGGTACCTATGCCGGTCGCAACATGCGCACGGACTCGCTGAGCTTGACATCTTCGCGAGCAAAGGCAATGCGAACGAGGGTTCATTGTCGATATCATGGTCCACATGTCTCGCTACTTCCACGGCCGCCTGGCACGTCCCCAAGAAAAGGCACCAACAAGGACACGCGAAAGACACGAGCGGTCTCTGACCGAGAGGCAACACGTCTGTATTGGATGCGACGACTTCGCCCCAAACCCCATAGGCGTTTGTAGGTCAGACAATTACAAGCCGACCATGGAGGCTCAGCAGCTGTCATATCGCAATATCTACTTTCTTCCTTACATTGTTGAATAGATGGAAACCTTTCACAAGTAACTAGGTATGAGAATGTAGGTTTTAAAGTTCGAAAGGGGACAGCCTAGATATTGAGTCCCTACGTATAAAATCGGTTGCTTTGAGACGCATTGTAAGGTTCTGATATACACAAAACCGCCAGTAGATAACAGGATTGTGCTCCGATTTTGTGGTCAATGCTTTACTGCATACAAATGCATATCCAAACATCTCTTGCAGGATATGGAAATGCTTGGGGACTTGGGTGGGAAACCTAGAATCTACTAATAGAGGTTGATTGCCATTTGATAGCAGCTTGCTTGCAGGATACAGTACATGTACTATATCTGACGACCTTTTAAAAAGAAAGTGGTTTGGAAACGGTCGGAACCAAAAGGGACCCCCAATACAAGATACTGGAACTGTGGGCATGTATCTCCAAGTTCGAACCGTTCGCACTCTAGAATAGCCTACGAGCTCACGAACAACTAATTATAATTCTCTCTAGTTAATGACCAGAACGAGCTTTCAAACAATCCGTCGCGTCTCCCTTGTAAACCTCTTTTGCTATTATAGGACATACAGGTTCCAGAGTCTTTTCTCATAGCCCTTGCCTTTCCACATGGCATCCACGTATCACAGGGGATTTGGAGGTATCCAAGGGTACATTTATGCGGCCCACGCGGCTGACTGCAAGGAAGGGGTCGAGATGGCGATGATAAAAAGCTCGATCTCTTAGGTGTCAGTATTGTTGACATAATGTGGGGAATTGTAATTACCTCCAGTGCAATAATCCAGGATTCGCCTAGCGTTCCTATGATGGCAACCACAAGTAAAAGAAGTGCCATCACAGATAGATAGCATGAGATATACTGCAGCTTAGCTCGAGCTAAAGTTGACTGTCCAACCATCCACCAAAACCATGCAGCTACACCAAGGTAGTCCACGAAGAGAATAAAGAGGCCACCCGGATGGACGGAGCTCAGAAGGAAGGTTCCAGCGAGAGAGAATGCTACCTTAGCCAGCGCGGAAAGCACGGCGAAAGGAGGGTACACGATGCGTAGTAATCGAGGTGTGAATGTATTTTCACGCTGTTGAAAGACTACATGAACGTACTATGGTAACGTTAGCCGACAGTAAACCTCGCTCACTCCGTGCAATGAAGACCTACTGCTTGTAGTGGTGGGAATAACGGAGTAACCCAAAAGAGCACTTGGCCCCATCGTGGAAATCTTTTGCTCCAGAACAACCCAGTAAGAATAGCAAAAGGAACACATGAGAGGGCACAGAAACCCACGTCGAATTTGTGCCAACGCCACTTGAATGGAAAACAGTACAAAAGAAATAGCCTCCCAACGTTCAGAAGTAGAAGAATAGTCTCCAAAATAGCTTTGATAATGTCTTCTGAAATCATGGCTATAATTTCTTAGCAGCAGACACATCTGGGTAAGAGATGGCGGTTTATATAGCCGAGCCAAGAATTGCCTAGTCATGAATGTATAGATCCCAGGAGCTCTTCTTCTGGTTTCAAAGCCTTCTCGACGGATAGCATACTCAAGTTTCTGCCTTTAACTCAACTTTATGGCATTGCGGAAGAATTCAGGGCTTCAATTAATGGTTCGCGGTAACATGCCGCTCTTGCTTCCGCGCTCGAGAACAAGCCCTGCTTCAAAGCCTGGAACATAGTGGCTGAGCCAATAGTATTGCACCTGCTCATTCTCACCCTGGCTGGTAGAGCCCTTTGCAGGAACAAAGCGATCAAAAAGAATTAACATTCACATTTCACTTTACTCGGAAAACACTTAACTTCACTCAGAAAGAGGTGCAGTTAGTCATCGCTTCAAAATGGCCGATCGCAAGTGCAGCTCGCCTTTTCAATGTCGAACCAAGATTCGATAAAGACTTTGCCCTTAAAAATCACGCACGGAGGAAGCGCCCACCCCGAGGCATTTATACACTCAATTGTAGTCACCCACGCGCGATTTCCGGGCTGTAAAAGCGATCGCCGACCGTAGTATTCCCTCCTCGTAATAACCTTCGCGGTTGCGATTAAGCCCATTACGAATCCGGTCTCGTCAAAGTTATAGATATCATCGGGATCGATACCGTAAGAAAGGATCGTTTTTTGGACGAGAGAAAATCATTCATAGATAATTTTAGGGTCTTCGCACTTTGCACGCTCGTAATTATATCCTTTTGAGAATCGGGAGGAAAGGTTTAGATGCCTTTTTACGAAGTTTATAACCCAATTCTTACCGACCGAAATAACCGGGGTAGATCCACGCGCCGCGAGCAATAAATCTGCCATTTCTCGTACAGAAGAGGGACGAGGGGGTGCTCCGCGAGAATCCATAGAGAGAATCCATTTTTGAAGAGATTCCTCCTCAATTTCAGTCAATTTATGTGAATTTGCGCGTAAAGTAGCTCGTTCTGCATAGCCAGAGAGGCGGTCGCGTAGAGTTAAACGCGGTACTTCAAAAGTCCGAGCAGCGTGAGCAACAGAGCTTATTTCTTTGTTCTTAATAGCCTGGATAGCTAATAAGATCCTACCCTCTTGCTCTGTACGATTTCGGGGCGATTGGGTACGAATTGGTGGCATGGTAGGTGGTTGAATAAATTAAATGCTAATTTTCGACGCGTTTTTAGGTAGGGTGGCGCGGCTCGCTTGTGGTGGCGGCTCGCTTGTGAAATACGTTAATGTCTGACGGGGATGACTTAACTGACCGGCTGGCCAGTTTTCCGCCTAGATTATTACTTTACTGGCATAGTTCATCCTGAATAGATCGGGCTCGGCCAACATTTTCTTTAATGTCAATATATTTAACTTGGACCCCGAACGGGGTTCGCGATCCCTATCGGTCCGTCACCCACCTCAAAATTTTATGTCCCTACCCAACCGCCTCTACCAACGCCTACCATGCCACCAAACCGCAGCCAAACAGCTCAAAAATTAGCATGAAGCAGGATTCTGCTAGATAGCATAGCAATTCAAAATGGCAGAATTAGCACGGCCGCTGCGACTGCTCGCTCTTTCGGTATCCCCCGCACAACTCTTGCAATCGGATAAAAGGAAACACTTATCTATATGAAGCAAGGGGTACATAAATTCACACAACTGGAAAAGGGAGTAGTCACCTCAGCATCGATCTCTATGGCAACGCTGAATAAGATCAAGTGTGACTGTGATTGTTGATCGTGAGCTCTCTCGTTGAAAATGCGGTGACACGGGATAAGACGGTCTCGTCTTCTCGATTCGTAGCTGAGATGACCAATGTTAACTTGGTAGGCTAGAAATGACGGGACTTTTGCTTCACCTTCTCCTTGCAGCGGACTTGGACTAACAGCCTGGCCGTCTGCGAAGGTACGGCTAGCCTACCATGAAGCATGATAAAAAACATCAGCATACGTCGGTGTCTTTCTAATTTCCAGGCCTGAAAGACGCCAGACGCCATCCGAAGAAAACGAGGATCATCATTGGACGCTAGGAGCCAAGCTACAAGGAGGCTATCCTTTGAAGTGTTCGAATGCCGAGAGACTGACAGTGGTGTGCACTATTGGAAATTGGGTCTTGTATCAAGTTGACACCTCAACGCATGATCTGATACAAAGATCGACGGGGAGAAAAAGGGCCGAGGTAGGTGATGTGAACCTTCCGGTAACTCATCGTTGATCCAATTGTAGTCATAGTGGAACGGACAGACAGCATCTAGTCGCCGTTCGAGTTCCAGCCACATGTCTCGCGGGTCTCGACGAACAGCTGCAACGATGCTGTGAAAGTCGCTGTGGATGTGATTCCAGATCCATTGTATTGCCTTTTCTCGGGCTTGTCGATAGTCTTTAACGCTTTGGGTATAGGTTGTGATTTCAGCTGCTCGAGTTGTGATAGGGATCTCGGGAACAGGCTCGGTGCCTTCAACGATCCCTAGTGCTCCGATGCCGATAAGTTGAACTTCGGCGTCCAATCTCCAAGAATGGTAGTTCGTTCGAATGAGTTTTGGATGTCCTGATTCACTATCCATGATGCGCAACGAGGGCTCATAACCTCTTGTAGTATGTGTATATTGGTTGTATTGTTATGGAGTTGTGTGGGTCACAATCCAGTAATATAGATACAGGTCTAACCCTAATGCATGAGTAGTGCGTATCAGGATGACAGAACAATACCATCAAAACAGGTGCTCCAACAGAATCGTATTGAAAGATATTATAACGTGATAAAATGTTTTATAAATTACTTGTAATATTTCTGCCAAGAATACTGGCACATGAGCTAGCTTGTTAACGACTCTGCTTGTCCTCAATCTCCTTGCAGTGATGTTCACTTAAGTAATGGCCGCGAAGTAAATCTGTGATGGAGAAGATCATTTTGGGAGGTACATATAAAGTAGAAATTGCTATGCAAACATGGGATATTCAGGTATCAAACTTATCTAGAGTTTTATATTAAGGCCCTCTATTTCCCATTTCAGCAGCGCTTCAGGATTAACTAAAGTTCCCGGATAGTTTGGGCCCAGTGCTTGATTCAGCTTGGCTAGGCAAATTCTTAGTAAATTGATGGCTTCCGCATTCTGACCTGAAGATTCCCAGGCAAAAGGGGGATTCGCCATACAGATTCGTGAGAAACGCTCAGTGCCAGGGTCGAGAATAGCGCTTGTTGGACTCAGTGGTGTTGGGTAAGTGTAGAGGGCCAAGGATGTGCTTTACTGCTTATTGCTGATAAATCAAAGAAGATATGAATCCCAAGCGACAGGACGATACCAGCAAACACCTTTCTAAACAGGACGGCTGTTGTGTCAGGCCTAGCCGGTGGTAGTGATACGCCAGAATATAGCAGATGGACATCAATATCGATCTCAACCTTTGCATTTGCATTGATAGTATAGGGAAAACCTATATAGGCGAAAACCTTTACTAAGGTGAGATTTTGGTAGTAGTCGTTCTCCCCAAGGAACAGCTTTGCCCAAAATGGTGCTGCTTGCAGTGTGCATACATTGGTTCTCCTTCCCAATTACTAATAAAATTATCAGCCTTCTGAAACCAACAAGTACACCCCATGATTTGCACTAGGCTGTCTGGATTGTCAAGTTGTAGTGTTGAGAGGCTAGGCGTCACTTACCCCCTATGATTTGCTCTTAGTCAGTTGGCTGTCTAGATTGTCAAGTAGTAGCGTTGAGAGGACCGGCAATACTTACATACTATGATTTGCTCTTAGCTGGTTGTCTGTAATGTCAAGTTGTAGTGTTGAGAGGACCGGCATCACTTACTTTCTATGGTATGTTCTCAGTCAGCTGACTATCTAGATTGTCAAGTTGTAGTGTTAAGAGGACCGGCATCACTTACCGCCTATAATTTGCTCTTAGTTAGCTAGCTGTCTAGATTATCAAGTTGTAGTCTTGAGAGTGTCGGTATCACTTACTTTCTATGGTTTGCTCTTAGTCAGCTGACTGTCTGGATTGTCAAGTTCTAGTGTTAGAACGACCAGTATCACTTACCATCTATGATTTGCATTAGTTAGCTGGATGTATAGAGTGTCAAGTTGTAGTGTTAAGAGGACCGGTATCGCTTACCTCCTATGGTTTGCCTTTAGTCAGCTGGCTGTCTGTAATGTCAAGTTGTAGTGTTGAGAGGACCGGCATCACTTACTTGCTATAATTTTCTCTTGGTCAGCTGGCTATATAGAAAGTTAAGTTCTAGTGAGAGGACCGGTATCACTTACATACTATAGTTTGCTCTTAGTCAGCTGGCTGTCTAGGGTGTAAGTTGAGTTAAGAGGACCGGCATTACTTACTTTCTATGATTTGCCTTTAGTCAGCTGGCTGTATAGAAAGTCAAGTTGTAGTGTTGAGAGGACCGGCAATACTTACATGCTATGATTTGCTCTTAGTCAGCTGGCTGTCTGGATTGTGAAGGTATGGTGTTAAGAGGACTAGCATCACTTACCGCCTATGGTTTGCCCTTAGTTAGCTGGCTGTATAGAGTGTCAAGTTAAGGTGTTGAGAGGACCAGCATCACTTACCGCCTATGGTTTGCCCTTAGTTTTAGCAGGTCGTATAGAGAGTCAAGTTAAAGTGTTAAGAGGACCGGCATCACTTACATCCTATAGTTTACTCTTAGTCAGCTGGCTGTATAGATTGTGAAGATATGGTGTTAAAAGGACCAGAAGTCTTACCGCCTGTAGTTTGCTTATAGTTAGCTGGCTGTCTAGAGTGTTGAGTTATGTTAAGAGGACTGGCAATACTTACATACTATGATTTGCTCTTAGTCAGCTAGCTGTCTGGATTGTCAAGTTGTAGTGTTAAGAGGACCGGTATCACTTACCGGCTATAATTTGCTCTTAGTCAGCTGGCTGTCTGGATTGTCAAGTTCTAGCGTTGAGAGGACCGGCATCGCTTACATTCTATGGTTTGCTCTTAGTCAGCTGGCTGGATGGAATGTCAAGTTTTGGTGTTGAGAGGACCGGCATCACTTACACGGGCCTATGATCGATGTCAGTCTAAACATTTAATATACTAAAATTGCAAATACTCTACTCACCTTAATATCTTCCTTTGCCCAGAAGCACTCTTCGTGGGCCAGGTTCCCATCCTGATCATACGTAGCAGTGTATCGCTCGCAAAGCGTTGGTCGACAAGCGCGGTTTGCAGTGCTCAAAGCCTCCCCGCCCTTACCCTGGCAGACTTCCTGTTTGTAGCACTGCCCCTCGGGTGGGTTCAAACTGGAGACTGCGGAGACCAACCCGAAGGGAAGCATAAAAAGAGCAAATGAGATTCTCATCGTGGAAATATAAAACCTAAGGACTTGGAACAATTAAGTAGAAAAAAAAGGTGTCGGTCTGAAGCTTTTGGGGCAAGCAAAATTATATACCCCTGTGGATGAATTGGTGGGCCGATCAGGGACACGGACAACCTCTCTGCTGTTCGCACTAGACCGCTTGCGGCTGGTCACGCTAGATAGCATAATGTTGCATTGCATCCATCACCTTGTAGAAGGTTTAAAGTGGGTACTAGGTTGGAAAATACCTTGGGCCACACTAGCACTCTATTGGTTAACCTTAGTAGATATATCACATAGGCTACAGTATGATATATTAACAGTGGGTACTAAGATCAAGACCCACCCGCACGATCCTAGCGCGCGAGATCCAGCCGTCCGATCCACTACCTATAACTAGTATTGACTAGTCACAACAGCCATCCTAGCTTTCCGGTGCATACAGCTGAGCGAATGTCCTTGCCGAGTGGCGCTAAAAAATAGCGGACCCATTGTAACATTCGTTCAGCTGAAGGCTGAAAAATTAGCGGACCCATTTTGACACATGCTTAGCTGACTTCCGGCTTCAGGCAAAACCTTTGCTGATTGTTCTCTTTATTTGTCAACCATTACATCATCGCCTTTTTGTAGCAGATTAAAAGTGGGTACTATACATTCGCTCCTGAATGCCGGTACTAGTATGAAGATCTGCACAATCCTTGCATAGCTACTATAGCAATGACTACCACGACTTACATAATAAATGGAGAGCTACACATCCCTTAGTCTAAAAATCTCTGTTCAAACCTTTTGGCCATGTGGATAGACGTAGGAATAAAGTGCTACCTGTTCTTAGACCTATCGCCTCTACCCAGTCTATTCAGCCACGATGAGACGCGCGATCGTTTTTTCTATTGTGGCTATTAGCCTAACCCTCGCCGAAACCACATCTGTGCCCCCATATGGACAGTGCTACACGCACGACGTCTGCCGAGCCCAGGAAGATGGGGTTCGTGGCCAGTTCCCATCGTGTCCTACTGATTGTGAATTCTACACAGCGACCCACGACCAGTCTGGTGGTCTTGTCACGCAAGCGTGCTTCAAACCTGATGGTACCTGTGTGTGCTGTCAAGGTGAATGCCCAGACCCAAATTGTGTCAATCCCTTTCCCAACCAGTTTAGTCACAGTAAGTATCTGAACATATCTCTAGGCACTATATATGGCACCGGTCTGACACCCCTTTACAGACAATACCCATGTTTTGGCGTGCCCTTGCAAGGGAGACGAGGAACCATCAATGCAGCCTTTCCAAAATATATCGCAGTCCAGCCAAGGACCATGCCCCGATGTCCACGGTGCAATCCAAAAAATTGATGGGTCTACATATACCTGGAACTGTAGAACCCACCACTACACAGAGGCCAGGAAAGCTCATGTCGGACGATCTCTCATAGATTGCGGTAGAATCTGCTCCGCCGCCCTTGGGTGCCGCGCAGTAACTTACTGGCCAAATGATGAAGAATCGAAGTGCTGTATGCTGAGTTTCGGCGCTGAAGACAACCTCGAAGAGGAGGACAAATCAGGAGATGGCACATTTGGCGGTACCCTGGTCAAAGTCGAAGGTAGTTTCTTCATCTTTCCCTACTATGTTTTCAGAAACTGACAAAGTATGAAAGTCTCCAAAGAAAACGGAGTTTCGCCACAGCAGGTTCTCTCCGGGGAGGAACCTGATTCGAAATCCGAAGACAAACCGGAGCCGAAAGTCGAGAATGATCGGGGAGAAGATTCCAAAGATGCTGGGCTATCTAAGGAGCTGGCAGGAATTCCCCGTAATCAGTTATGTCCAAGCTATAACGGCAGGGACTTTGAGACTACCAACTCAGATGGTAGTCGAAATAAGTGGCGTATCCTCTGCAACACGATGCTGAATCACGGCGCTTGGCAGCCCGATGGCCTCCACCTTTGCCGGTCAATCTGTAATCGACATATTGAAAGAACGTCAAGAAGAGAAAGCCCAATACAAAGGATTGTGGATTAGGAGTGATGGTTGGTGCAACCATGTCAACTCGAATCTTTGGACACCTCTGGTCAAGGCGGTGGATATGACAATGACCCACCATTATATAGAGCGCATTGAATAAGGAGCCTGGATCTGCTGCTTTTCAGAGTCTTACAAATGTCTAAGTGTAGCGGTGAAGAGTTCCCTGCGGATCCGCGACAGTGGATAGTCCTACCCATCAGTGGAGCACAATAGGGGACCCAGATCTCAGCTGCAGTGGATCTTTGGTGGGGAGATGTGATATGATTGGGCTCTTGAACTATGCACCCCCAGTCGCCCCTACCCCTCAGCCAGCCAGCCACGTAAGAATTTTGATGCTACCAAAGCATGTAAGAGGCTGCTCGGTGTCGATAATTAAGAGGAAATTCAAACATCCTCTACTTCACGCTGCTTTGTGGATCAATTGATCTCTTCGGGCCCACTATTCTGTCTTGGATCGACTATTGCATGGTCTCCGTAGATCCTGCAGCTCAAGCTTGAAAGAGACAAAGATCGTCTGCCTTCTCACTATAAAGATGCTGCCTAAGCCCTCGTACATGTCATTCCCTTGGGTATATCTCGAGCAGATAAAAGTTGAACATTAGACGCTCGAATCTTCAACATTGATACCATGGGTGAAAGTCAAGAAAACCTTTTCAACGTCTGGACCTACGATAAGGCCGAAAAGACAAAGATCACTGATCGCATTGTCATAGGGTCCATTAAAGAGGATGCGACCTTGGCGGACATTCGAGCATCGCTTATTAAAAGCAAGCTCGACTCCAAAAAGTGAGTTGTTGGCCCATCTCCAGTCGGAAATTCGGGTTCTCACATTCGACATCCGACAGGGCCCGTTTCCCTTTCTGCTCCAAGGATGGCGCTCGCATAGGGGATGACTCCAAATGGAAACTCTACCAGGAACTGTCCGCTGAGGTTCCTAAAAAACAAAGCGTGAGCGCTTATCCTATCGTTGAACTGAAACTCTGAAGTATTGTTAACTTGCAGCTCAGAGCAAAAATGGAGACGACGAGCAACCCGCAGAAGGGGATGCCAAGAAAAGCGACACCCCTAGTCTTAGTATCACCGCTCATGATGTGTATTTTGAGCTTTCTGAGGAGGAAACCAACCGAAAATATGGTGAACTCGGCGCCAACGTCCAGAAACTGCTTGAGACTCCGTTGGATCTGGAGCTTGGTGTATGTGAAATGCTTAGGTTTTGCTTAAATTTGAATTGACAATAGACACAGAAAGACAAGGTCAATTTGCTCAAGGCGAGCATTGCAGACTTTGAACTGGCAGGTTACGATCATAAACAGTGGAAGTCGAAGGCTAGTACTACTGATGCAATGTGAGTATAGCATGTCAAACAATCCTCGCCAATTCATTCGCTGATCATGCGCTAGCTCCGCCGGCTCCCTATCGGACGCAGATTGGGACATGGTTTCTCGAGCCACCCATTTCTTGAATGGCCATCGAATGGTTTTCTTGGAAAACGCGGGTGGCCGAAGAAAGTTCCAAAGAATCGATAAAGCGCCATATCCTGGTAAGAAAAGATTTCACGTGCATGACTTGAATGGAACTAATCGCTGGTGAAGCCTTTTCTATCAAAGCGAGGAGCCTCGATGAGATGGGAATGACCGGTCCTAACGTCACACTTCCAACCAAAAATCCAGTAAGTTATCTCTCTGATCGTAATAAGTCCCACGTCTAAGAAAAAGAAGATCTTGTACAAGTATCCTTTGTACACTGTCACGGATGACTCCTATGTCAATGTGTTTGAAACTGCCAATGCACTTTCCAACAGCCTTGCATCGAGCAACTTTTCATCGATGGATGTTGAGGCTTCAATGTCAGTCAACAGAAAACCGACGTTGTGCATTACAATCTGCTAATTATCAACAGCGGGGGGGGCCTTTTCGGCTACAGTGCTGCCGCCAAGGGTGGATTCAGCAGAAGTGAGACTGACGCCCTTGCTACCAGCGAACAAAGCAAGCACCGAACCATGAACATCACATACAATGTTAGTAGAGCTATCTCTCTGTCAATTTCAAAATTGACAAGTGAACACAGTTTCCGAGAGTGGTTCTGCATTTGGACAATGACAGCTTGGAGCTGACCAAGGGCTGCAAGGAAGCCTTGGACCACATCATCAAGCTCAGAGAGGACCCGAAGGTGGCAAGTTGGCAAGAAAGGAAAGCTCTAATCAAATTCTATCAGAAGTTTGGTTCGTATTCACTTTTACATTTTCGCTCGGCTTCAAGACAAGTCGCTGACACGTGTGACAGGACACTTCTTTGCCACAAACGTAGAACTGGGTGGAAAGTTGTTTTCAAAGGAGGAATTCAGTTCAACCGATGTGGGGAAAACGGCAGAGAAGTCAAATGCCATGAAGATTAGCGCGGCGCTGTCCTTTTCTTCTCCAGTGGTTCAGGCCTCTGCTAGCTACAGCCAGGAAAACCAGAAAGCGTCAGGTAGCGCCAGCCAGACCAGCAACATGAGCAAAGCACTCTCTTGGGAAGCTGTGGGTGGTGATACGACACTTTGCAACAAGTGAGAAGCTTCTCACCTGATTTGGCTTTCATTTACTGACCTTTCTTTTAGTCCTCCGGCCTGGAGTTCTACAGTCAAGCCCTTCAAGAACTGGAGAGTCATCAACGTGAGTGGTTTTGTCTATGCTCACCCCATTCATGCTTTCGCAATATCGTAATATTGTTAGCTGATTATATCTATAGCAAAAGGACGTCATGGCAATTGCGGAGTTTATTGGGACATTCAATGATTATGGTAAAATCCCCGAAATGTTCAAAATGATCAGCAGTGAGTCCGCCCAAAAAACGCCTTGTCGCTTCCTCCTCCAAGCGGACCCTGGTCATGACGGAAAAATCAAGGGAACCCAGTACTATGGCCTTCGCAATGATAAAGGTGAAACGAGAAATGGTAAGTTCAGGCTAGATTGCCCGGTGAAAAGCCGACCCCGCTAACAATCGACCAGAGGGAATGTTTGATACGTTGAGGGACTGGTGTCTAAAAGAAGACAAAGTCGTCCAGTCCTATGGCCTCGATGGAATTAACAATTCAACCAACAATGCCAAGTATAAATTTGAACAGGATACATATACAAATCACTGGCATGAGTGGGTCGGAATTGATCCGCAAAGCTCGCGCACGGTGACGGGTGGCTGTATATTTGAACTCGACGTTGAGACACAACTTGGACGACCACCAAGGGTAGGCTCCCTAAGTATCGAGTGGTGCAGCACAGGACTGACGTTTGATAGTTGACATACAACACGCCATACAAATTGTTCAACAAAGCGACCAGAAGTTATTTGGCAGCAGACGTTGGCTGGGATGCGAGAATTGGTGGCAGGACCATGGGGCTTCTGTTTTACACCAGGTCCTACAAAAGAATCGGGACATTTGTGTTCCAGAAAGCGAACCAGCCAAGTGCTACTGGCACGATTGACGAGGGCGCCAATGTCTCACTTCACTTATGCGACGACAATGACGTTCCCATAGGACAGGTGAAGCGCAATATAAACGACCAGTCAACGCTGGGCGTCGAGCTAAATGATTGCGAGCTGAAATTCCTCTTCGTCACAAACAACTCATACATGAGATACGATGTGGGTGACTACTGAAAGATAGGCGATGGTTGAGGTCTTTTTCCTTTGAGTGAGATATGTTTTCTTGATCAGGGAAGTGCATTTTGTTATTTAAATTTTAACTTATAAAAGAAAATTATATTTATCACAATTGAAAGTACGCTCCAGACGCAATTCCATCGGACTGAAATCCAGTAAATCCAAGAATGAGAAAGTGCAATACGAGTCAATCACAAGTCCTCCTTCGCTTGCTCGTAATGTGGCTCCCCCGTCGATGTAGCAGCTGTAATCACCAAGAAGTCGTTGAGAAGGGCCTGGATTTCGGAAGAGTGGTAATCAACCAATTGAGAATAAAGAAACCACAATTTTTATAATTAGGGATCGTCAGGTGTGTTTTGAATGTATACTGGATCAAGTCCGTCAGAGCTAGACCCGAGATAGAGAGGTAGGGCGACAATATTTATGAACCTCGGGCAGGACCTTAAGGTAACCCGGAGCAAAGTGGCTAGAGGCCGAGTAGCTTCTTTGGCCGGCTGTATTTCAAGATAACATATCAGCACTCGATACTAGGCCATCTGGTTTAGTAATCCAACCAAGTCGCTAGTTGATGGATACTGAGCCCAGCTGGCCCATAGTCCGTGGCTCGTGAGCCACAGCAACTACATATCTATAGAAACAGGCTCTCGAGTCTGCGGGACGGGGACTCATGCACCTTGGCTGGCCCCGTTCTCTGCCGAGTGGCATGGGTGCGTAGTGACCTCAAGTATTGGCAATCAGCTGAGAACAATCTTGTAAGAGCGGGGTGAAAAAATTATAGCTGGTAGACGTGGGGTGGCAGGGTATTAGATTATGCACGGATATAACCCATGCCTTCATTCTACCGCAACTATTTGCAGCGAAATTCTTGGTGCCATTTTAGATGCCCACTGAGAAAAAATGCTTGAGTCATGTTGAGAATGAGTCAAAGTGAGTCGGTTAAGAAACGTTGGCTCACTGTTGAACCTACGGTCCTGATATTGAGGCACTAGAGGCTGATCATTCTTTGATTTCACCAAGAGCGCTCAAATTTTCTTCTAAGGATCGTCCAATATTTCTGGTCTCGCTCGAGTTTTGATTGTCTGAGCTGTGTGTGGTTCTGTCCGTCTAGGCTGCGGAAAGCGTCAGGCCGTGGTCGCGCGGGCGCGACCCGTCAACCCGTTGAAGCTCGGCCGTCCTCGTTGACTGGAGTCAACTTTTGACTTTCATCTCTAAATTTTACTCTAGCTACGTTTGGGATTTCTGAGCTCTCCAACGAATGTGGAAGAAGTATTGTGATTGAATATATATATTTTGGACCGATCATCACTATTGAGCCGCTGAATATGAGGCACATTCACTAACCATCAACACCATTAGATTCACACCAGCACCATCATCGAACGGACTGCTAACAGAGCCCCGAAAAATCTTTGGGTTCTAGGCAAAGTCAGACTGTGTTGATTGACTTTCATGGTGAAAGTGAGAATGAGTAACCACCTATGTCTGTATAGTCTATAAAATCCTCCAAGAATTGATGGACATGGTATTGCCCAGACACTCGACTTTTCCCTACGATCAAGATGGATGCCCCTAACAGCACGCCAGACCAGGAAGCAGAAGGAGAACAACAGTCTAGTGCATTGCCAATCGTTTGTGAAAAAGACAATTCGCAGGAAACTTCCAATGATGCACCAATGGTAAGTGGAAAGACTCAGCTTCGAATGCTCTTGCTGACCATTACAGCCCTCTACCTCGCAACAGGAAGCAGAAACAAGACATGCCTTGACGACCGAGCCCTTTCAACCTATTCTGAAGGTGCTAGCAGACCTCGAACGCAACGATCCCAAGTCCGCCTTTCCCGCGGCTCGTCTTGTCGGACTCTATCGACGCCTATGGGAGTCGTGCGTGTCCAAACACATTGATGGCCAGAAGCTAGAGCAGAGAAATCGTATCTTGAAGGAGGCTAGCAGACACCTGACTAAGGTGAGGGACGGACTTCAGCTGCGCCACGACAAGCAGCTGTCTCGGCTGCGCTTCTTTGAGCAGGCACTGGAATCATCTCGGGATCGATTGACTAGGATCCTCGATGACTGGAACCACCCTACCAGGCTCAATCTACCAGGGTCCTTGGACAACGCAAGAGAAGGTTGAGGGATTGTATATTCTTGATTGTCCTATGTCTTTTACAATGTGGAAAGTATCCAACGATGTATCCAACGATGTCGCAATGAAGAGTTACCGCAGGGAAAAAAGCTTATATCTTTTTGAGAAGTCATATTAGAGCTTTTGTGGAATGTGTCTGCGAATAATCCCGCATGTTCTAGTTTCGCTTTTATTAACCCAATACATTATAAACAAAAAACTACGGGTCCAGTGACAGTGTGGGCAGTGTAGCTAGCGGAGAAAGTGTCAATTAACTCTGCCGTCCCGCATTGCATCACGACAGCTACCCGAAGTAGATGTCGCCAGCTCTTACAGACCACGAACCTTCTCCTTGGAGACCGCTTCAACAATGTTTGAGGAGTTTTGTCGTCTTCCATTCTGCTTCGAATGGCCCTCTGGATGCAATCGTTTCTTGCTAGATCCAGCGATCTCTTCAAACTGAAGATTTTCAGTCTGGGATTGAGCACAAGTGCATCAACAATCGAGGAATGCCAACCCTTGACCGCCAACATCAATGGATCCTCAGACCATCGATTCCTGAGGCTCACATCAATTCGATCATGGCGTAGTAGTGCCTGGACCATCTCCAAGTCACCGCCACGGGCGGCCATGCAGAGAGCAGTGTCGTGAGTTGCGATCGTGCTTTCGTTGATGTTCAGACGTGCGCCTTGCTGCACTAAGAGTCCTACAACATCGAGATGGCCTTGTGCAACCGCTCGACAAAGGGACGGATCGATCACGTCCCTTCCATTGATCTCCACGCTCTCCATACTCAGTAGACAAGCAACTGTGTTCACGCGTCCGTGATATGCGGCCACGGAGATTGGAGAGTGGCCTGCAACACAGAGATTCAGACTGATCCCTGGCACCGCAAGCAGCCGTCGTA